TACAGTCACTACACTTCACAGGAATTCCTGTGATATGCTTTGAGATGTCCTCTCGATGTGAAAGGTGTATATCAGATACAAGGACTATTATTTTTATTAGTATTGTAGGTCAGCTGGATACAAGGACTATTATTTTTATTAGTATTGTTGGTCAGCTGTGAGGTTCAAGGCTGAGCAATGAAAGATTTGCACTATGTTTGGATTATATTTCAGGTCTCTATATCTCAGAAATCTGGAGTCTTGTAGCTCAGTGGTTAGAGCACTCGCCTCGCAAGCGAGAGACCCAGGTTCAATTCTTGGCAGGACGAAATGTTGGGCAAGTTTCCTTAATCCACATGTCTGTGTTTACCCAGCAGTAAGCAGGAACTCGGTTGTTAGTCGATTGGTAGATTGCTTTTCTGGTGATAATAATCCCTCAAAAAAACAATAATAATTTGTCCATTCAATCCACGACTGTTTGCAGGACGCTGCTGTGCACAATTGGCTGCCGTGTTTTTCCCACAAATATACAGTCAATTCATTTTACAATGTATTCTGTGAAGCGCTTTGAGACGTCTCGAAGAAGTGAAAGGCGCTGTATCAAATGCAAGGATTATCATTCATAATTATTATTTGCAGTCGTCTTCAAACATACAGTCAGTCCACTTCACAGTATATTATCCTGTGAAGCGCTTTCGGACGTCCTCCTAACGTGAGAGGTGCTGCACCAACTGTACGAGTTATTATTTACTGGAGGTAAAAAATGTGATGTACCTAAACTGACCTGCAAATTGGTGAATATTTCATCCAGTGGTTACAAAACATGGCATTTTGCATCGTGTGATTGAGTTATTGGGCACGTGGCTTCAGACCTCTATTTTCTAACTGCAGCATTGACCTCCCTGACATCCCTGACTCTGACCGCCGACTGCTCACCGGCTAACGTAACGCAGGGTCAACACTCCAGGTAGCAGAGCAATGACTGTGGCTTAGGAGGGAATCTGACGCAGCACTGCGTGGGCAGACTGTCACTAGGCAACTCACAGCCACCTTCACCACCTCTAGCGGCAGGAGCACTGTGTAAACTAACGGGGAATTGTTATTGTGTGTGTGTGAGAGAGAGAGAGAGCGCGAGTGCATAGGAGTGTGAGATATATATGTGAGGTGTATGTGCCCAAGTTTGTTGGTTGTGGGTATAGGTGTGTGAGATATGTGTGTGTGACGTAGTCTGTATGTGTGAAGTGTGTAGGTATGTGTGGTTATGTAAGGTGTGTGTAGTATGTATGAGGTGTGTATAATTGTGTCTGTATAGGATGTGTGTGTGTCTGTGTGTGTGAGTGGAATGTGTGTGGCTCTGTGTACAGGATGTGTGCGCATGTGCGCGGCATGTGTGTGTGTCTCTCGCTGTACAGGGTGTGTGCATAGCATGTGTGTGTGTATAGGGTGTGTGGTTGTGTGTGTCAGTCTCCCTCTCCATATAGTGTTTGAATGTCACTCTCTCTCTCTGTTCCTCTGTATGGTGTGGGTTGTGGGTGACAGTGCCCGTATCCAGATAAATCAGCTCTTGGCTGTTTGTGGGACCGTATTGTGTGCAAAAGGACTGCCCATGTGGTGGATTAATAGTCACTACACTTGACGGTTTTCCATTATGAAGCCAATTGAGAAAATTCATTGTGTTACTTTAAAAATGCAAAGCTTTCCTCCTCCACTCCATCATCCCTCTCCCTCACTCGCTCCCACGCTTTCTGCCTTTCCTCTCGTCTCGTCCCTTCCCTTATTTCTCTCTTGCTCCCTTTCCTTCTCTTTTTACCTCTATCTCTGCCCCTCTCTCCCTCTGTCTCTCTCTCTCTCTTCCCCCTCCCTCCCTTTGTTTCTCTCCCTCTCGCTTCCCTTCTGTTTCTCCTCCCACTCCTTTTCTCTCCTGCCTCTCTCCTTCTCTGTCTCTCCCGTCTCCCTCCCTCTCTTTCCTCCCCCCTCTCTCCCTCTGTGTCTCTCCTCCGCTCTTCCCCCTCCCCTCACTGCGACCGATCGTGGGTAGCATCAGGTTGTCGCTGATTACTGAATGGAACACTCTTTCAAAGAGTCAGCACAGACATGATGGACCCAGCAGTGAACGTCTGAGGTTCCAGGTGTGGAGAGGATACACGCGCTCTCACACGTACCTCTCTCGCCCTCTCTCTCATACACACACCTCTCACCCCCTCCCCCCCCTCTCTCTCACTCTCTTGCTCTCGGGCTCCTCGCGGGAAGGAAGGTACCACCAGCAGCCCTCAGCGCTCAGCCTAACTGAGCTCGGGCTCAACGGAATGAGCGCAGTCTCCACGGCAACAGCAGTTACTTCTTCCTTTTGGTTTTAATAAGTGAGAAATGATCAAACTGCAACGTCTTACGTTTCTATCTGATCCGTTTCGTTTAATCATTCCCGGGCCAGAGTGAGTGAGCCGAGCAGTGCGAGGGAGCAGGAGGGACCACAGTACACAGTCACACAGAAGTGTCGCCAGTTTAGTTCCTTTAGCCCAGTGGTGAACAGCAGCAACAATAGCAACTTGAATTTATACCACGCCCTCCACGCAGGGTAGCGTCCCCGAGCGCTTCACAGTGGCGGAGTCTGACACCGAGCCAAGGAGAGGGAGGGGGGGACGGGAGGTGACCGCAAGCACAATCAAACAGGAAGGTCTTCAGGCGGGATTTGAAGATGGGGAGGGGGAGGGGACAAGGCGGAGAGATTGAGAGAAAGAGTCCCAGAGTTTCGGGGCGTAGTGGCTGAGGGCACAGCCATCGATGGTGGAACGGAGGGCACGAGTGACATGCAGAAGGCCGGAGGCAGCGGGTGGAGGAGTGGGGGGGTTAGCAGGTCGGAGAGGTTGGGAGGGTTCAGGGCGCGAAGCGATTTGAAAATGAGTGAGAGGATCTTGAAATCGATCCAATTGATTGATTGCTGTAATGTGTGGGCACCCTGAGCTCTCTCAACGGAATTCAAATTCCGTGTCAGCCTGCAGTCAGAAGGTTGTAGGTTCAAGCCCCACTTCGGGACTGGGAATCATATAGTCTGAGCTGACACTTTAATGGAGTGAATTGTCAGAGGTGGTGTCCTTCGGATGAGATGTTATAACGAGGTCCTGTCTGCCTGTTCAGGTGGATGTTAAAGATTCCATATCATTGTTCAAAAAGAAAAGGGAGTTTCTCTCTCCCAGTGTCCTGGCCAACAATCCCCAAATAAATGTTTGTGAGACTTGCTATGCACAACTGGCTGCCGAATTTCTCCCACAAAACACACAGGACTTCACTTTACCGTAAATCCTGTGAAGTGCTTTGGGATTTCCTCCCAATGTGAAAGACGCTGTACCAAATGCAAGGATCATTATTAGTCGGAGTAATGATTTGGCTTTTTATAGCGCTTTATTACTTTATTAATTTATTTGATAGCACTACATCAAATGCAAGGATGATTATTATTATTATTAAAACCTGGTCTGGTCTATGTCTTTAAATGAAGCCAGATTCACACAAAGGAAGCTGAGGCTCTGATTGTGTGAGTGGCCCCAGAGGATACAGGATACACAGTGTATCATTCACAGGATACACCGTAAAGTGCAGTGACTGTGCATCTTGTGGGTGAAACGCGGCAGCCAGTTACATACAACTGTGTCCCATAAACAGCCATGGAATGAGGGACCAATTTTATTTGGGGGATTGTTGGCCAGGACACTGGGAGAGAGAGACTCCCTTCTCTTTTCGAACAGTGCCGTGGAATCCTTAAGATCACCTAAACAGGTAGGTAGACAGGTCCGCGGTTTAACATCTCATCCAAAGGTCAGCACCTCCGACAATGCAGCGCTCCCCCAGCACTTTACTGGAGCATCAGTTTAGACTCTGGGTTCAGGGCCTATGGGCTTGAGCCTACAACCTTCTGGGCTCAGAGGCGAGATGCTGCCACTGAGCCAGGCTGACACACGGGAGAAACAGTCACTACAACAACAACTTGTACTTTCAGGGTAGCGTCTCAGAGCGCATTATAGTGGCGGCGCCTGACTCCCAGCCGGACGGACGAAGACTAAGGTTTTCAGTCGGGACTTGAAAAAGTGGAGGGAGGGGGGGCAAGGGAGAGTGTTCCAGAGTTTCGGGGTGCAGTGGCTGAAAGCGAGACCTCCGATGGTAGGGCAGACGGTGCGAGGGATGAGCAGGAGTTGGTGCCAGTCGAGCGGAGGCACCGGGTAGTGGTTTGGGGAGTGACGAGGTCGGGGAGGTCGGGAGATGACAGAGAGTGAATGGATTTGAACACTAGAGTGAGGATCTTGAAGTCGATCCGTTCGGTAATGGGGAGCCAGTGGAGTCTGGGCCAGAACTGGTGAGATGAGGGTCCGGGTCAGCTGGGGAGAGTGGCGAGGAGTGTGTTTGAGTAACACTACGCTTGGAAGCTGTTATTGTAAAGTGCTTTGAGATATTTTGACCTGAAAAGGCACTTTGCGGGTGGGTAGTCGGATGGATGAAGCTTTTCCTCCCTCCCTCGAGCCTGTGGTGGAGCCCAGGCCTTGGGTTCAGTGCAGCAAGTGTCAGCCATGGCTCCTCCCAGGCCCTTACTTACATTCTAGTTTTAAATCAAAATTGAAGGAAAGGTTGAAGTAAGTGTGTTTGAAAGTCTCTCATTACAGCTCGGCTGTCAGTCAGAGAGCAAGTCACAACTACAGCCTGTGGGCAGCCAATGAGCGATTAATCAGTGCCAGCTCCACTCCGCCACGCTCCCCGCAGGCTCTGTCCATCACAGCCTCCAGCCCACAGACTCCGCTCATCGCTTCCCTCCTCGGCACACAGGCGAGGGAACGGCACAGAGCGGGGCTGGGCTGGGCTGGTGGCTGAGCAACGATTCTGCTCACAGCACTCCTGGTCTCTCGTCTCCCAGAGCGAGAGCCAGAGCGAGAGTGAGAGCGAGAGTCAGAGCGAGAGCGAGAGTGAGAGCGAGAGTGCGAGCGAGAGTGAGAGCGAGAGTGAGAGCGAGAGTCAGAGTGAGAGCGAGAGTGAGAGCGAGAGTGAGAGCGAGAGTCAGAGCGAGAGCGAGAGCGAGAGTGAGAGCGAGAGTGAGAGCGAGAGCGAGAGTCAGAGCGAGAGCGAGAGTCAGAGCGAGAGTCAGAGTGAGAGCGAGAGTGAGAGCGAGAGTGAGAGCGAGAGTCAGAGTGAGAGCGAGAGTGAGAGCGAGAGTGAGAGCGAGAGCGAGAGTCAGTGAGAGCGAGAGTCAGAGCGAGAGTCAGAGCGAGAGTCAGAGCGAGAGCGAGAGTGAGAGCGAGAGCGAGAGTCAGAGTGAGAGCGAGAGTGAGAGTGAGAGCCAGAGTCAGAGCGAGAGTGAGAGCGAGAGTCAGAGTCAGAGTGAGAGTCAGAGTGAGAGCGAGAGTGAGAGCGAGAGTGAGAGCGAGAGTCAGAGCGAGAGTCAGAGCGAGAGTCAGAGCGAGAGTCAGAGTCAGAGCGAGAGCGAAAGTGAGAGTCAGAGCGAGAGTCAGAGTCAGAGTGAGAGCGAGAGTGAGAGTCAGAGTCAGAGTGAGAGCGAGAGCGAGAGTCAGAGTCAGAGTGAGAGTCAGAGTGAGAGCGAGAGACAGAGTGAGAGTCAGAGCGAGAGTGAGAGTGAGAGCGAGAGACAGAGTGAGAGTGAGAGCGAGAGTCAGAGCGATGCCCTGAAACCCTGGAGCACTCTTCCTCTACCCCTCCGCTTCGCCCCTTACTTCCCCATTTTAAGGGGACGCCTGAGGACCTCCCAGCGCTCTCCCTCCTCTCCCGGGTTTGGTGTCGCGCGCTCTGGGACGTTACCCCACGTGAGGCAAATGCAAGTTGTTGTTGTTGTGGACTGTTCAGTGTGCGGAGGGCAATCCCACTGCCCAAACTGTCTAACAAACAGCTGTGATTGGCTGTGATTAGCGAGGGCTGTGATTGGCCGGGGCTGTGATTGGCCGGGGCTGGGATTGGCCGGGGCTGGGATTGGCCGGGGCTGGGATTGGCCGGGGCTGGGATTAGCTGTGATTGGCCGGGGCTGGGATTGGCTGGGTGGGATTGGCCGGGCTGGGATTAGCTGGGATTGGCCGGGCTGGGATTAGCTGGGATTGGCTGGGGCTGGGATTGGCCGGGGCTGGGATTAGCTGGGATTGGCCGGGCTGGGATTAGCTGGGATTGGCTGGGGCTGTGATTGGCCGGGCTGGGATTAGCTGGGATTGGCCGGGGCAGTGATGGCTGTGATTTGGATGAGATGTTAAACCGAGGTCCCATCTCTCTGTTTCGGGCGGATGTTCATGATCCCATAGCGCTATTCGAAGCTGCTGTCTGTGGCATGTGCTGTGGGTAAATTGGCTGCAGTGTAAAACACACAGTCACTACACTTTGAGAAGTACCCCTGACGTGAAAGCTGTTGTACTATATGTAAGGATTTCTTTTTGTTAAAACAACCTGCAGAAGGCTGTGATCGGGGGTCAGCTTATTCACATGCTTATAACGAGCCCGCGACGGAGGCAAATAATAATAATAATCCCTCCATTTAATAGCACCTGATCACGTTGTCGAGACGTCGCTAAGCGCTTCACAGGATATACTGTAAAGTGCAGTAACTTGTGTATTTTGTGGATGAAAAGCGACAGCCAGTTGCATACAGCAGTGCCCCACAAACAGCCGTGGACTGAGTGACCAACAGTGGAATGGCCAACAGTTTTATCTGGGGGTTTGTTGACCAGGACACCGGGAGAGAGAAACTCCCTTCTCTGTTCAAGTAGCGACGTCGGATCTTTAACATCAGCCAAATGGGACCTCGGTTTCACGTCTCATCTGAAGGACAGCACCTCCGACAATACAACATACCCCCAGCACTGCATTTCCAGCGCCTCCAGATGTCCTCCTGATGTGAAAGGCGCGATACAAATTTAATTTGTGGTTGATTTTGGATTGTCATCTTTGACTAAGTGATTGCAACGTGGGATAATAAATAATATCAGACTCAGACCCCCTCCCCCTCCCCACACTTTACCATATCCTTTCACTGATATTAATTGAAACCACTGTTAATTAACAAACTCCACAGGATATCACTGTGACATTATGAGCTCCCGAGCTCTATTTCCTGGGCCCAGGGCTGTTTCCTGTATTGTATTTGATCATTAGTGTCTGTCTTTGTGAGTGTATTAGTGTCTCATCTGTACAAAAGGTTCTGTTTCTTTATGTCCCTTCACTCGACTGCTGACCCAGAGGTGTGAGTTTGCTCAGTTACTGTTCGCCTGTTTACCTGCAGCGAGTAGGAACCCAGTTGTCAGTTGATTGGCAGATCATTTTTCCTGGGTAATAATCCCTTCAAAAAAATAATAATAATAACTTGGTCACTCAATCCACGATTGCTTGTGGGGCACCGCTGCGCGCAATTGGCTGCCACGTTTCGCCCACAAAACATACAATCAATCTATTTCTCAGTATATTGTGTGAAGCGCTTTAAGACGTCACGACGACGTGATAAGGAGTTATATCAAATCCAAGAATTATTATTATTCTTGTGTGTTGCAGATTCCTCCTCCCGCTGAGCTTGGTCTGTGTGGGGAGCAGACGGCCTAAACTGTGCTGAGTAAACTCTCACAGTGACGTGGGATCAAAGCCAGCAGTCATTGTGCGGCACTTCTTGCCCCTGTGTTCCTATTGTCAATTAGCAGTCAACTGGGACATGGTCTGAAAGGACAGTTAGTGAACCCAGAATACAAGGCATCATACTGAGCTTGTGGAATGCCCTTCCCCCCCCCAACCACCCGAGGGCCTGAGAGACAGACTCGATGGGGACAATTATACAGGAGAGAAATACCTGGAGAAAGGATTGGAGGTTTTCACAAGAGTTTAGGAGGGTTGGAGGCTCATGTGGAATTTAAACACCAGTGTGGACTAGATAATAATAATTAAACCCAGATCCTGTGGCTTGCAAGGCGAGTGCTCTAACCACTAAGCTACAGGACTCTTCGCTGGGCCCAGTGTACGTCCTCAGCCTCACCTACAAATCCATCCATCCCCTGGCACCTCCTTATCTTTCCAATCTCATCCTATCCCACTGCTCCACTTGTCCCTTCTGCTTTACCAACTCAGGCTTGCTGCCCACGCAGCCCCCCTACCCCCACCCAGCTCCCCCACCCACCCCAGCTCTCTCCACACCGCCAACCTCTAGACTTGCTCCCTCTACCCCTCCGTCTCGCCCTCTGTCTGTCCCACCTCAAACCCTACCTCTTCAAACAGCACAACTGTTTGTGTGACAACACTGTGCGTAATTGCCCACAAAATACAGTCACTGCACTTTCCAGTATATCTTGTGAAGCGCTTTGTGACGTCCAGGGCCTTGAGATGTCCTCCCGACATGAAAGGTGCTGTACAAATATTGTTCTTGTTTATTGTTGTTGTGGCCAATTCCCTTCCCCGCCCTCCACCCCTCGACATCTGGTCCTGCCAATGTGCAGCGCTCTGAGACCTTACCCTGTGTGTAGTGTGCTGTACACACGCAAGTTGCTGTTTCTATGCAGTGATGTTCTCTGTTAATGAACACTCGGGAAGTCAGAGTACTCAAGGGTTTGGGGAAAAGATGGGAAATAAGATTAATAACAATGTCACGATCGGACAAACTGGCACCTCTCTGACCTGCTTGCCCTCCCAATCAACAACACGCTGCCTCCACTCAACTGGCTCCGGCCTTCTGCATGTCCTTCATCCCCTCCATTCTACCACTATCTTTCAGCCACTACGCCCCAAAACTCAGGAACACTTTTCCCCTATCACTCCGACTTGCCCCCTCCTTCCCCATCTTCAGGTCTTCGACCGTGTCTACAGTTACCCCAAACCCCCAGCTCGGTATCAAAATCCCTCCACCATTGTCAAGCGCTCTGGGATGCTAACCTGCATGAGGGGTGTTCTGTGAGTGCAAGTTGTTGCTGTGTTTATTCTATTCATAGAATAATGACTGGAATAATTTATTATGATAATTAGCACCAGTGACGATCACCATAAAGGGAATATAGCAATACAGCAAAACAATACAGGAAGCTGAGGACGTGCCAGTTAAAGACACACCACACAGGAATATTGAGGAATGTCACTTCACCACAGCAAACTCATTGGGTAACTTGGACCAGAAGGTCCAAGGTCACTCATATGAATATTGTGTCTAAAAATACTGTGATGGCTTAGCTGGTTAGACTCCAGCAGTTACCTCAATGCATTTTCTCACTCGAAGGGAGGTAGAAATCTGGAATACTCTCCCACAAAAGGCCGTGGATGCTGGATCCATCCACACCTTCAAGAGTGAGGTTGATAGATTTTGATAGATAGGGTATTAAGGGATATGGGAAGAAAGCGTGAGATTGGAAATGAAAGGATTAGTTTAGGTACAGATCAGCCATGACCTAATTAAATGACAGAACAGGCTCGAAGGGCTGAATGGCCTATTCTATGTTCTTAACTCACTCTATACAACTCACACAAATATATGGTCAATTCACTTTACAGTATATTCTGTGAAGCGCTTTGGGACGTTGAGAAGACGTGAAAAGCGCTACATCAAATGCAACGATTATTATTATTAATTCGTTGCCTCTTGCCAGCCTGCACCTAATAATCCGGAGTTAGGTGAGCAGGAGGCGTCCCTCCAGGGAGAGAGTGCGCATTCAATTCCAACAATCTATCTCTGGAATTTCCACTGTGTGGGTGGGAGACAATTCCATGTGTCGGTGGGAGACATGGAATTCTCAGTTTGGTTTGGATACTGTTAAGCAGGTGATGGGTTTACGGATGTGTCAGACACCCGGCTGACCAAAAAAAAAACATTTATTCAGTGCCTTTTGTGTCGGGAGCATGTCCCCAAAGCGCCTCACTGTGAGGTGGAGTGACTGTGTGTTTTGTGGGTGATTTTTAAAAGCACACTGCAATGCGGGAAAAGAGCTGGATTAATTAAAAGACTAATTTAAAAACCGTGATGAGAAAATCACCTCCTGCTGGGCTGCAAAGTCAACTTGGTGGTTTAAAAGTTAGGAGAAACTTTGATAATAAAGACTGTTGACTGAAAATCTCCCGCCAACCCCCACAGCTATTGTAAGGAAGGAGCTTAACCCTGTTCTGTCCCCCTCCCTCCCCTCCCCTCCCCACCCTGTCTCAGGTCCTGTGGCAGTTCAGGCCAATTCCCACCACTACCCACAGGTTGTGCCAGCAATCCCCTCTGGCAATCTTCCAAACCAACCTCGTGTCCCCAGGAGAGGAAGGGGTGTCAGGCAGCTCACACACACACACACACAACAGTCACACACAGACAGACGCGCACACGTGAACAGCTCACACACACACACAACAGTCACACACAGACAGACGCGCACACATGTGAACAGCCACACACACACACAGACTCACAGACAAAGCCCTGGCAAGGGCTGAGAAAAACACAGAGCTTCACCCATTGCCCCCCACCCACCCACCCACCCACCCCAGCCGAGGTTAGTTGGGAGCACCAAAGCCCTGCGCCTTATCTCTGGTCTATGAGCTTTAAACACAGAGCCATGCGCTGGGTCTCAGGGGAGGAGAGGATTTTGCGGTTAAATCATTCTGATTGACCACAAAAACAACAGCAGACAGATGTGTGAGTGTGTGCGTGCTCACTCCCTCTCATCCCCTGATGTAGAGCCACTGCACTGCCACTCACACACACACACCATGCCCTGACTGCTGATTGACACTCATTCCTGAGCCCCCCCCCCGGAGCACTGCGAAACACACCAGCAATTCCATTCTGAAATTCTCCAGTATTGCATTCACAAAAACCTCTCACTGAGTCCTTCAGGATCATCCATCCCTCGTGCAGAAGGGGGAACTGTGGAGAGCTAATGAATGGGCACGGGGTCTGGCGCTTACACAAGGCAGTGTGGCACACTGCTCCCTGCTTCAGCTGAACACCTGAATGGCTTTTACGTGGGGAGGGTGTTTATCAAGAGAAAGGAAAGTGTGTAAAATTCAGGGTGTCCACAAAGTCCTGTTACCCCTGTGTGTTTTCTCCGCAGTGCACTGACCAACAACTGAAACATGAGGAAGAATGATGACAGTTGTATTTAGAAGTACTGCATTGCATTCAGTTTAACTGTATAGAGGTGTGAGACACACTCAGACACACACAGAAACAAACATACCCTCAGACACACACAGACTCAATTTAACTGAGGAACAGTGTGAGCGAATGCATCATTTTCATGGCAGATAATGATTTGTTGCCAGGTTCGGTGCCACATCTTGTGTAACATGGATCAAGTGAGGAGGAAGAGGAGGGAGTTACTGGGAATAGACATTGTGACACTCGACTTGCCTGCAACAGGAAATAAAAATTCATTGTAAGATAAAAACAGGGGGCGGGTGGGGGGTGGGGGGGTAACAGGACTTTGTGAACAGCCTAGAGATGGAATGTGTCTGTTAAACGATGTGATGACTTGTGCAGGACGTTGCCTGGGGGTGGATGGGGCGAGTGGGGGGTAAGGTACAGAGCGGAGGGAACTATGACAATCAGTGTCCCTCAGTGTTCCTGACTGATAAAGAAACAGGTTGCTCTCAGTGTGTAGTTCCCTATGAACATGAAGTGCTGGAGTCTGCTCGCTCGCTCGCTCTCTGTGAAGGCTTGTGTTCACTCAGAGAGCCAATGATGTGTGTGTGGGGGGGAGGGGAGCTGGGAATTTCAGCCTCTCTAATAGGAAAGGCATGGGCTTCACAGGGTTGGGAGATCTCACACAGCCTGACCTCAGTCGTAAAAAAAACATGCTGTATCTGCTGGGAGGAGGAAAACACATCACTGGTGGGAAGGAAGAGTGTGTGTGTGTGTAGGGGGTGAGCTATCACAATGGCCTGATGTGAGCTTAGTAAAACACACAGTTCCTGCTCGCTTCCTCCGTTTGTGAGGCTGCAGATTGAAGAGAAGTTGGCAGTTTGGGTTTGCTATATTCCCCCACCCCCCACCCCCCCTCTTCTCTCTCTCTCTCTCTCTCTCTCGCTCTGTCCACAAGTGTGAGGTAATGGGGGCAGGCGTGCTGGACACACAGTCTCTCACAGTGCACAGACCTGCACAGTGAAGCAGTAAAGAGGCAGAAGATGGAGTTCCACACGGGCACCTTAACCATTTCACGCCACAAGAGAGGTAAGAGCGAGCCCCTCTGCCCCCCCTCTCCCCCCCACCCCCAGAGCCCCTGCCTTCCCTACTGGACAGGCATTCAAGACCACCATGTCCCAGCGCCTTGAGATGCCCTCCTGACGTGAAAGGCGCTATACAAATATATGCTTTTCACAAACGTCATACAAATGTCATTTTGTATTGTAAGGTCTGAGATGTTGTCACTGTCCAGCGCCTTGGGACGTCCTCCCGACGTGAAAGGCACCGTACAAATGTAATCTTCTTGTTGTTGTATTTAAGTTTCGCCGCGAGATCCATCTCCGAGCAAATCCAGCTAATTCTCTCGTTCCACGTTAATCGCCTTCGCTGTAACGTTTAATCCCGGACAGCGACCACCGTCCCTCCATTCTTTCCGTCTGCTTTAATTCCTTTTTGAAATCATGACTCTGGCTCCCAGGCCGTGTCACAGCAGAGGACAGGGTCTCTGATTAGACATGGATTATACACACCCACAGTTGTCTGATTCCCTCTCCCTGCAGCGTGATTCCTCCATTCAAGTCTGCCACTCCAACACCGACAGAGACTAACTCTATATGCAATTATTTTTAAGAGTGTGTGTGTGGGGAGGTGGGGGGGGAGGCTGTTATTTCCACGTTACAGATGCTGTGACACCCTCTCCCTCCATGGTATAAATTTGCAGGACAGGGGTTTTAATTCCCTTCAATCCCATTGGGTTATTAAAATGTTTGCTTAATGCCGAGTAATTAAAGGGTTTGGCAGCAAGGGAGATGTGCAGACTAATAGATTGTTGTGTGTGTGGGGGGAGAGGGCGTGCAGGGTTATGTCATATTGGCATCATAAGCGTGTGATGGGGGTGGGGGGGGGTGGGCAGGATTGGGGTACAGAGCCGGTGTGACTGACTGCTTGTTGCTGTTTTAATTGACTGCATTTTTATGTTTGTTATTCAAACACAGTGCAGCTCTGGGGGTGTGAGGCTGCTCTGAGCAGACGGTGTGTGTGGGAGGAGGTTACAGTTACCAGACTAGGGTTACGATGTCTGGCTCTCAGGGCAAATGACCTGACCGCTCTCCCATTTCTCCGCTTCAATATCCTTATTTAATAATAATCCTTGCATTTGATATAGTGCCTTATAATATTGTTGAGACCTCTCAAAGCGCTTCAAAGAATATACTATCAAGTGGATTGACAATATTTTGTGGGCGAAACGCGGCAGCCAATTGCAAGTGTCCCAGAAACAGTCGTCAATTGAGTGACCAAATTATTATTATATTTTGAAGGGATTATTACCCCCAGAAAGAGATCCACCAATTGTCTAACAACCGGCTTCCTTCTTCCTACTAGGTAAACGGAGGCATGTGGAGTAAGGAAACTTGCCTAAGGTTTTGCCCTGCCTGGGAATCAAACCCGGGCCCTCTCGTTTGTGATTATGCTACAGGACTCCAATATATCCCTCTTAAACATCTCCATTCATTCTGCCACCATAACTCTCTGTGACTGTGTGTCTCCAGTGAGGAGAAGGTTTCTGTTCTCACTGCTGACAGACATGTTGCCCTCCAATGTTAAGGACTATATATATCTGTACTCTGGTTCTTTCTACCAGAGCCAAGCATCGTACCCTCTCCAGCCAATCTGTGCCGGTGACTCCGAGCTGGAGTCTGGCCTGACCCTCCAGTGTGGTGCTGGGGGAGCCCTGCATTGTCAGAGGTGCTATCCTTCAGATGAGACAAAGTCCCGTCTGCCTGTTCAGGTGGATGTTAAAGATCCCATGGCGATATTCGAAAAGAGAAGGGAGTTTTTCTCTCCCGGGTTCCTGGTCAACAATCCCCCATATAAAATTTGTCACTCCATCCATGGCTGTTTGTTGGTCATTGCTGTGTGAAAATTGACTGCCGAATTTGCCTACAAATACAATTGTAGCAAATCTATGAAGCGCTTTGAAATGTCTCGATGCTGTGATAAGGCACTTTATCAAATACAGCCAGACCGATAACGCCATCACATTATGACTGGATGTTAGTTTTCCTGGTATGGTTGAGCTTCGTATAATAACTCCTTTTTGCAGGAGTTTGTTATTTTTGTTCACCAGGTATCTTGTCAAGCCATTTCTGAATAGTCTTAGGAGAAGTCCCAGTTACAACGATGATTACATGAACTGGGTTTGTTTTATACTGTCGCAGACGTCTGCATTAAACGTGTAGATCGATATATTTCCTGATCTTCTGTAGCTCCTTATTTCTCACATTGTAATCACTTGGGATAACAGCTACATCAATAATACTACATGTGCAATCTATTTGACGCTTTATAATAATATCTGGTTTGTTACAGATTACTGTTCTATCTGTTTGTACTTGTGAATCCCAGATTATTGTGATATTTTTTGATGTCACTGTTGCTAGTTGATGTTCATACCAGTTGGTCTTTACATCAATAGCAAGGGTTTATAAATTATCCAGTGAATATATTTAGCTACGCTATTATGTTTAATCAGATACTCCCATTGTGCTAGGGCTGGATATGATGACAATATGTGATCCACTGTTTTTGGTGCTTGATGACATATTCGGCATTTTGGATCAATTTTGGATCATTTAAGATTTTATTTTCATAACATCAGGCGGTAATAGCTTGTTCTTGTTCTGATATAATCAGTGCTTCTGTTTCAGCTTACAGATCCTCTTTAGACAAACAGTTGTAGTTTTGGTGGAGTCATGTAGCTCAGTGGTTAGAGCACTCGCCTCGCAAGCGAGAGACCTGGGTTTTATTCCCGGCAGGGTGAAACCTTCGCCAAGTTTCCTTACTCCACACGTCTGATAAAAGTCCCTCAAGAAATCAAATTTTAAAAAATAGTAATTTGGTTACTCAACCCACGACTATTTGTGGGACTCTGCTTGACTGCCGTGTTTCGCCCACAAATATACAGTCAATTCACTTTATAATATATTCTCTGAAGCGCTTTGAGACGTCTAGAAGATGCAAGGTTTATTACTATTATTATATCTAGACTTTGTTCTTTCACTTCTCTTGGAATTTGATCATGCCTGATTTTCTACTCCCATTTGGTTTTCTATATGATATCATTGTCTTTATTATTATTATTATTATGATTGTGATCCAGACACAGACTCCGTCACTGTGAAGCGCTCTGGGACGCTACCCTGTGTGAAGGGCGGTATATAATGCAAGTTGTTGTTGATTATTATTATTGAAGACTTCCTCCCCAGAGTTGCCGATGGTATAACAGGCTGTTGGCTCCAGGGATATTGGGGATGTTTGGAGGGAGGTGGGGATTGCTAGTTGTTGTTAGGAGATTTCAGCTATTTTGTCCGCCACCTCATCCCCTATTGAACTCCATCACGATGCCCCTCCAACTCCCTCCCTCATCTCGGTCAAAGTCCATCTGAAGACTAACAACAACAAAATTACATTTGTAAAGCACCTTTCACCTCTTTGACGGCGCCTTTGGTCATCTTTCCCCCCCATCCTTCCCATCTCCCACCCTCCTGCTCAGGACCCCAGCCAGCACCGTCAAGCACTTTGGAACGTCCTCCCGATGTGAAATAGTAATCCTTACATTTGATGTAGAGCCTTAGATCACATTGAAAGGACGTCTCAAAGCGCTTCACAGGATTTGCTGGGGAAGGCGCTGTGTATATTTTATGGGGGGGTATTGTTTGTCAGGGGAGGATGGTGTGTTAAACAAACTTGCGAGTCTCATGCCATCACGGGGAGATAAATTGACGTCACCCATTATGAGATGGCACCCAAGGGTTCTTGCTTGTCATGTGAACCCCGAGCATTGGTGATTCTAACACACTGGGACTTTTCCCCATTCCCTTTACACAGTAATCATTGTGGGTTGGTCAGTGGTTTCAGTGATCAGCCTGAGATCGACTCTTGTGTTTTATTACGTGGCTCAGCCAGTTCCCCCTGTCAGCCACTCGCCCACACAGACCTGCTCTACCAGCTCCAGCCCCCAGTCAGCTGTCAGGTATCTGATCTTATATCACGGAGGGGAATATCAGCCAGGTTTGTATTATCTTTGAGCACCAGCTGTGCAGCTCAGGCTGGAAAAAAATCTGTGTGTATTTGTGGTGTGTGTGTGTATTTGTGGTGTGTGTGTACTTGTGGTGTATGTGTGTGTACTTGTGGCGTATGTGCTTGTGTGTGTGTTTTCGTGGTGTATAATAATAATAATAATCCTTGCATTTGATATAGCGCTTTTCACGTCGGGAGGACGTCCCAAAGCGCTTCACAGAACACACTGTAAAGTGAATTGATTGTATATTTGTGGGCGAACGCGGCAGCCAATTGCGCACAGCAATGTCCCACAAACAGTCGTAGACTGAAAATGACCAATTTATTATTGTTTTTGGTTTTGGAGGGATTATTATTAGGCTCTGTGTGGAGTAAGGAAACTTGCCCCAGGTTTGGCCCTCTGCCTGGAATTGAACTCAGGTCTCTCACTTGCAAAGTGAGTGCTCTAACCACTGAGCTACAGGACTCCACTGAGCTACAGGACTCCACATGTATGTGTGCGTATGTGTATTTGTGGTGTATGTGTATGTGTGTGTATATTTACTGTGAATGTGTGCGCGCGCGTGTGTATATTTGTAATGTATGTGTGCATTTGTGGTATATGTGTGCGTGTGTGTCTGTGCAAGTGTGTGTCTGTGTGTATGTGGGTCTGTGTGTGTATATGCGCGTGTATCTATCTATTTGTGTCTGTGTGTGTATATGTGCATGTATGTATGTGTGTGTATCTGCTTGTGTCTGTGTGTAGTGTGTGTGTATATAACAGTGAGGCTTGGCCGTGGTGTGTGTGAGCTGCTGTAGTGTATGAAGAACAGTCACTGGTTGAGGTTCTGCAGTGGCTGATTAAACAACTAGCATCACTGGACCAACACAGTCTCTCCACCATTTAATGTTTGATCAGATCAGAGGAACAGCATATCTTGAGTCTCAGCAACTCTTAGTATCAAAGAAAACTCGGCTGTTTCCTCTAC